GGTAAAATAAAAAGGCATGCTCTCTATGGTCCACTGCATTGGAACTCACTGAAGGGTCGTGTACTGCGAGAATTGTTAACATCAGGCAGGATTTCACAGGACCTTGTGAGCTGGAATCTTGGTTAGAGGAGAGGACTGGGCAAAGGTCTGAACCCACCTTTGTATTTGGTTGTCTTCTCCCATCGTTTTCCTCTGAAAGAGGATAGTGAACTGACTGACCAAGTTCACGTTAGTGTCTCCAGGCTGAGTCGCACAGTAGACCCTGACAGCTTTATGCTGAGAGAGGCAGCACGGTGGGGAGAAACACCACTTCCAATAACACTAATGGTAAAGAGATAGTATTTAAAATAATGGTAAACCTTCAGCTGTTTAGTCTCAGCTGTTAAAACACACTGGGATACACAGCAGGGCTCACTTACCTGTGGGGAAAGGTAGTCATTGGCCAACATTAACTGTAATAGCACCCGGCTGGTCTTAAGGGTTAACCTGCTTTCAAGTTAACACACTCCTCGCTTGCTGACCTAAGGCCTTTGATCTGTAACAGAATTGATTTACTTTCTTTGAGATATGCACACCACTGGCCTTGGGAAATGAAGGACCAGAACTTTCCCAGGCCATAGAGGCCAGCAAGTGTGTTTGAGGCTGCGTCAGCTTTCCGATTAGCCCAGCAATTTTTTAGCAAAATGTTTTCTTTTTTTAAGGTCACATAAATGACTTTACTGACCTCCCTTTGTGCATCTGTAGACCTTGCCCTCCTATGCAGAAAGAACAGGATATTCTTGCACAAGACCCTGAGTACCAAGGAACCATATCTTCTTCCACAACCACCCCCACATACCAAGGAACCAGAACTTCTTGCACAGCCCGCCCTCCTGCCTCCCGGGCACCAAGGAACTAGAACTTCTTGCACAACCTTCAAACACCAAGATAACTCTGTAGCTGGCATCATCGAGTTGCACATAATCAAGAAATGCCACAGACCACCGCACTCCCTTAACTGATTAAACTCCTTTCAAAATTTCTAGGCCAGGCAGAAACCTTGGAGTTGGCTTTTGGACAAGAGTCCACCTTCTCCCCAGGTGGCAGGCCATGTGAATACAGCTATTTCTTTCCAATCAACGCTTGTCTCTTGAGTATTGGCCTTTCAAGCGGCAGGCAGTCAAACTTGGACCTGGTAACATCACTTATGTTCTCTAATCCTAAGACTGTTTTGTCACCATCTTTGCTTCAGCCAGGAAGAAGTCTCTGTAGCTGTGCTCACTCCTAGCCCTGGATCTTTCTCCAGTTTCCCTTCAAGTGCTGGCCAAGCTCCATTACTATGTCTTACCCTCCGCCTGGGCCATTCTCATAACTGTACCAACCAACACGTATCTACCAGGCACAAACCTTATACAAAGGCATTATTTAGCCTGCATCTACCAGCCTGGAATCTACCAGGAAAGCCACACTTTGCGTGTACCTCCATTTCTCTAGCTGTAAAATGCTCCACTAAAAGGCAGACCCTGTCTTGTTCAATTTGTTCTGGGCCATATCCAGTCAGCCTATTAAAAGGGCTCACGGGGAGAAGGAACAGTTTCTTTGGTGATGTTTTCCCTGGTCTGAGGGAACTCACAACATGGTAGGAAAGACAGAAACACATCAGATGTTAGTGATTTGTGCAGAGGACTGATGTGGTCTATTGCAAACTCACTGTATCACCATGGCAAATGACATGATCTCTTCAGGCATCATGCCTCATTTGTAAAATGAGGGGGTTACAGTGGATGATAAAAAGGTAACAGAAATTCACTGAACACTTGTTATATACCAGATCCTATACTCAGCCCTGAACAAGGATTATCACATTGAAATCTCACAATACTGCTGTGAGGTAGGTACCACTGTCCACATTTTACAGATAAACTGTGAGATCCTTTCAACTCCAATGTTCTATAATTCTGTGATTACAAGTAACATGGTAAACTCTGTTTTCCAAAGGCGGCCACAATATTTCCCATCCCACATGCTCTTTTTTTAAGTTTGTTTATTTTGAGAGAGACAGAACCAGCAGGGGAGGGGTAGAGAGAGAGGGAGAGAGACAGAATCCCAAGCAGGCTCTGTGATGTCAGTGCAGAGCTCAACGTAGGGCTTGAACTCACGAACCGTGAGATCATGACCTGAGCCCAAACCAAGAGTTGGATGCTTAACCGACTGAGCCACCCAGGTGCCCCTCACATACTCTTCTTAAAGTATGACTTTGGCACTCACACTCCTGCCTTTGCGAGGTGGGTCTATGTCCTCTCTCATTGAATTTGGGTGGGCTTATGACTGGAGAAAGCGATGTGATGTGACTTTAGAGACTAGATCACAAAAGCCAATATAGCTTATATTAGTTTTCCATTGTGGCACAACAGATTACCACAAACTTAGTGGCTTAAAACAATACCCACTTATTATCTGGGTCTGTAGGTCAGAATTCTAGGCACAGCATGGCTGGGTTCTCTGCTCAGGGTCTCACAAAGCTGAACTGAAGGTGTTGGCTGGACTGAGTTCTCACAGGGTCTAGGGGAAAATCCACTTCCAGGCTCACTCACATTGTTGATAGAATTCAATTCTTTGTGAGGACAGAGGTCTGCCCCTCTTTGCTGGCTGTCAGCTGGGGCTGCACTCAGCTCCTAAAGGCTACCCAAATTCCTTGCTAATATGGCCACCTCCACCCTCAAAGCCAGCTGCAGATAATCTCCCTCACGTCAAATCCCTCCCACACTTCAAATCCCTTGATATCCTCTATCTCTGGCTTCTAGAATGGACCCAGATTTAAATGTGATTTACTCAAGTGATTACTTGAGGCCCACTTGTAGAATCTCCCTAACTTAAGGTCAATTGATTTGGGACCTTACTTACACCTGCAAAATCCCTTCTGTCATATAACCATGGGAGTGAAATCTAATCATATTCATAGGTTCCACCCATCCCAATGGGAAATATGCCAGGGCAAGGGTCATTGGGGGTAAAATTCTGCCTACCACAGGGCTTCTATTTGATTCTCCTGTTACGCTTATTTTTGAAGCACAGCCACCATACTGTGAGGAAGTACAAGCAGCTTGTGGGAAAGAACTGAGGCCTCCCAGCCAACAACCGGTATCAACTTGCCAGTCATGTTAGTGAGCCACTTTGAAAGTGGATCTTCCAGCCCCAAACTGAGCTGCCCCAGCTGGTGATGCTTGGAGCAGTAAGCAGTCCTTATGGAGTCCCATCCAAACTGCAAATTTGTGAGTAAAATAAAGGACTGCTGTTGTTCTAAGCCACTAAGTTCTGGGGTGATTTATCACACAGCAAGAGTTAATCAAGAACGAAGTAACAACCCAAGTTTAGCTGATCTACAAGTACTGAAAGTTTTTTTATGGACAAGGAGTGGTGGCTTACATTTCTTTCAGGACACTGGAGCATCTGACGGTGTAGGCCTAGAATGTCACTCAATTCATGGTTGCTGATGTGTTAATTCAAACTAGTACTGAACCAATTTAGTATTCCAGTCATCCATATTTGGAAGCCCAACATTTTAAAAAGGTTATCTAAAAATGATGCTGTTTTCCTTTTGAGCCATGGCTATATTATATACTTGGAGCTATATTTGCAAAATATTTGGGGTGTAAATAAACATAATTAATGTACTAATTTTTAAAGCTACCATGGTCTTGTTTATAAATCACTAAAGTATTAATATTTCAATGTATAATTTTCACGCTATTTTTAATTGGAAAAATAGGAAACACTTGTAAGATAATCATCAGTTGTGTCATTAAGAATTTTCATCAATGTATATTAACTATTAGGTGAAAGACTGTTGAAACAGAATTTCCGTACACAATCAGAGAGGCTCCCCCTGTATTATTTTGTTAATTACAGAGGGGGAGAAACCTGGCAGATAACCCCTTAACCAGATAATCAAACTTAACATCACCAATGATGGAACAATGGGATATCGTGTGCCTTCCACTGTGATGCACTAAGGAGACAACATCACATGTGTAGTATTCTTGACCCAAAATGTTTAACTTAAATCGAATTATGAGAAATCATATAAATCCAAATTAAGGATATTCTGAAAAACCCCTGACTTGTAGTCTTCAAAAGTATCAATGTCATGAAAGACAAAAAACGCTGAGGAACTCCTCTATACTAAGGGAGATTAATCTAAAAGACGTAACTAAATGTGAATCTTAACTGGATCCTGGATCCCCCCTCTCCAACGTGAAAGAAAAAAAAACAGCCCAAAACTATAAAACTTAAATATGCACTGCATATTAAATAGTACTGTATCTATTAAATAGTACTGTATCTAATGTTAAGTATCTGAGTGGATTATTGTACTGTGGTTAAGTTAGGAGAATGTCCTTGTTAAGATCCAGATGCCGAAAGATTTAGGGGTGGAATGTCACAGTATCTGCAATGCTCAGGCAAACTGTATAAGGACTAAAATTGTGTACTTGGTTGAAGGATTCTGTATCAACATCTAGTCAACACTGTCCACAGACTGGGCAGAACAAGCCAAGTTTTCCCCTGGATAGTTGAAGAGAAGCACACAGCTGGACGGACACTCACCTCCCTGCGTGCCACGTGGAGCCCTGAGAGTTCTACGATGGCCACACCCCAATGGCGAGTGAAGACGAGGCTGCGGTCTCACCTTTGTTAGACGAACGAGCACACACGCTCTGCATCCTTTCTGGCAGCGCTGCTTACGGATGATGGCGAGGCTACGCCTTCCATCTGCAAACGCAAAGGAACCTCGTTAAGTGCTTGTCAGATACACTTTACGGCCGTCACGTGAAGGCGGAAGGGCGTGGCCACACCTCCTGCACTTAAAGGCACGTGCGACAGAGGCATGCGCTGTGTGGAGCACTTTATGGCAGCCACGCGAAGGCGCGAGGCCAGCGGCCGATGCTGCATGGGGCGGGGTCTGCGTCCACGTCTTTGGAGGCTGGCTGTTATTCTGTTGGTGCTCCCACCGTTCGGCGATCATGGCGACGGTGGCAGCACTGTGGCGGAGAGCGAGGGACTACATGAAGACCAAGGAGTTCCGGGAATACCTGACCAGCGTGCACTTCTGGGGTCCTGTGGCCAACTGGGGCCTGCCGCTGGCCGCCTTTAAGGATATGAGGGCACCGCCCGACATCATCAGCGGCCGCATGACGACGGCGCTCATCTTCTACTCGATGGCCTTCATGCGTTTCGCCTATCGCGTACAGCCTCGAAACTTGCTGCTGTTGGCGTGCCACACCACCAACGTCATGGCGCAGAGTGTGCAGGCGGGCCGCTTCGTAATCCACCACTACGGCGGCACCGCCACCACCACCGCTGCCACCACCACCACCAACGACCCCACCATGGTTCACACCAGCGACCGTGTGTGTGCTAGCGACTTTGAGGATGACAACTCCTGCTAGGCAGCCCCCAGCTCCAACCCGTCATCCTCCAAACCTGGCTGAGCGGGCCCGATTGAGTTTTTGCAGCTTGCAAGCACCGAACTGTTACTCTTCCTGAAGAAAAGGCCAGTGAAAAGTTTGGTTTTGACTCAAATAAAACAGTTCGAATCTGATTTAAACCTGCAGTTTGGTTAATAAAAAAAATAGAAAGTAGCAAAGAACGGAAGCTGCAGAGTGTTTATTTTGGGCTCTGAAAATACAGTGTTGTTTAGGGGAGGGTAGATTGGCTGGTCTTTCTCTTCACGGGACCTGCACACACCTCGAGGGGTAGTTTTTACAGGGGAGGAAGACTGAATGAAAGCTCTCTTGGGATGTTCTGTTACTTGTTTTGGGGTGTCCAGGCCAAGTAACGGTGCCTAATAGCATTCATGATTTTTAAAACTTGGTACAGGCATTAATCTCTTACAGCAAAAATAACTCGGGGGCTATGTCTACCAAGGGAAATACTTCAAAGTGGGTTTAAATGAGTTCAGTGAAACCCAGTTTGGTCTTTTAAAAGGGGTACTTATTAAGAGAACCTAGAATCTCTTGGTGGCTGGAGAGCAATGACAGACTCTACCATAGAAACAAGATAAACAACTCTGAGGTCTGTTGCTGTCAACCCTGGATTTTAGGTAACTAGAGAATAAGAACGACAAAATCTTAACCCTTTCCTCTTTTCTTCATGCCTAGAAATGGGGGGGGGGGGGG